TCTGGATGAGGGGCAGCCTGACCTCCTTTATGGGTTCCCCCTTTTGTCATGTAACAGGCTGCGCCTGGCTCGGTAGTGACTCCTGTTGGCTGGAAAGTGAACAGGACTCCCCATTGTCCCGACTGTGTCCGGCCTGTCCTGACAAAGGCCACCTGGCCTTGGGGGCGGGAAGCTGGCCTGCCCACCCTTTGATGTCTGCTCCTCCGCCCCTTCCCCACCTTCTCTCTCTTCACTGTCTCCCAACTCACCCAGCTTCCCCAGGCAGATGCTGGGGGGGCTTGATCAGTGACTGCAGGCTCTGGCTAGATCTGACCTCGGTCCTGGAAGTCCTGGGGACACAGAGACACCCATCTGCCTCCAGGGAGAGACAGGGCACCAGGTGCTACCACACGTGACCTTGATTAAATAATAACAGCTAACATGATGGAACACTTACTAATGAACCAGGCACGAACCCAGGATCTTGTATGTGTTACCTCACTTCACATTATAGTCTATACTGTTATCGCCCTGGTTTTTACTATTTTGTTTTTCTAAAAAAAAAAAAATAGTTTATTTAATTTTATTTATTATCATTATTATTATTATTTTAATTTGACCAGAGAGAGACAAGGGAAGTGAGAAAACAAGCCACCAGATTTGGGATTTGAATCACAGTCAGCCATGTGGGAGTTCAATGCCTTAACTACCATGCCACCTGCCAGTCCCATCACATCACCCCATCAACCCAGTTTTTTGTTTTTTTTTTTTTTTAGAAAACATGATTTCCTAGAGAAAACATGTTGCATCACTGGGTCAACCCAGTTTTTTGTTTTTTTTTTTTTTTTAGAAAACATGATTTCCTAGAGAAAACATGTTGCATCACTGGGGAGTCAATTTCAGGGGTTCTGGAAGACCCACAGAAGCTTTATCCATAAGTCTCAGGTTAAGAACTCCATATTAGATTATGTGAGAGGTGGGGCCAGGGAGACACAGCTCTGCAGTTCCGTGTCTGGGAGGTGCTGGAAAAGGAAGCCAGCCTTTCCTCCTTTCTTTCAGCTGCCATTTTCTGCCATTGGGTTATTCTGGAGATGCAGGGCAAGGTTCCCCATGGGCAGGGACTTGGAAAGACCCATCCCTGTGTGAGGGGACAGGAGAGGCCCGGTAGGAGTCAGAGACTGGGGGGCGTAGTGGGAGCTTCCAGGCTGCATGATGTCAGACAAGTTGCCTGGTGTCTCTGGGCATAAGAGCTGCCAAACCCAGCTCCCCTCTGGTCTCAAAGGCCATTTGTAGGCCGGCCGCAGTGGTGCAGAGGCATCACCACTGTGATGCTGAAGCCATATGGGAAGCTCCCAGGTTCGCATCCTGAGGTCTACCTGTATGTGCAGGGCACACGTGTGTGCCCATGATCCTGGCTGGCTGAGCCTGGAGATAGAGCCTGTTGTGACAGCCTTGTTCGAGCTGCCTCTCTCTTTCTCTCTCTCTCTTGCATGTGGGAGAAATATAATAAATAAACTTTAAAAAAAAAAAAAAAAAACTAAGCCAGAAAAAAAGTCATTTGTAAAGTGCTGTCTGCAGGCAGATGGAAGATAGGGCGACCACTTTCCCCTTTGTTCTTGGAGAGTAGGGAGAAGAGCCAGGGAGGTCTGGAGGTTCCCAGGGCTTCAGGAAGGGAGTTACCCCAGGAGCGGGTTGGACCCATTTGGCTGAGGATGCGAGAGCTTTGGCTTTCTCAAAGCTGGAAGCTGCTGCCTGTCTGCTCAGGGCATCTGACTTCCCAGTGCTTCTGAAGTGGGGGCAGAATGGCGGTGGGGTAGACTCCCTAAGAGAGGTCGGGACCAGCAGTTAGCGTAATGGCTGTGTCGTCGGACTCCCATGTGGTCAACCGACCGCGGTTCGAGTCCTAGACCCAGCGGCTTTAAACTCATGCTGGGCACGTGTGCATTTGTGCCCAAAATCCCGAGAGGAGAACGGAGGAGAAGGGATTGCAGCGTGGCCATCCCCTCTGGGGGGTGATTTCTCGCTTTCTGTCTCTCTGTCTCTCTCTGTCTTTCTGGCGAGCTCACATGCCCTATAGCAAAAAAAAGCAAAACAAAAAATTTCCTGTGGTGAGACTATCAGATGACGTAGTGGTTACGTCATTGGACTCCCACATGGTTGCCTGCAGTTGGAGTCCTGGACCTAGTGGCTTGAAAATCATGTTGGGTGTATGTGCGTATATGCCCAA